AGATGTTCTTCCGGCGTTTTCCTTCTCCTTCATCCCCGTGCAAAGTGCAAACAGCTGCGCGAGCTCGATCACGCTCGCACCAGCTTTGTACTGGATGCGACCTGGACGACTGTAGATTGGTTTGGTGACCCGAGTACTAAAAAAGTCCTTGGGGGCAAACATGTTCTACGCAAGACCGTTTCATCAACTGGGCAATACCATATGTTAGATCAAGGGCTTCAATTGACACACGTGAGAAAAAACTTGCAAATTGACATATGTTGTGGCAAAGGGACGGCCCCCACTTCTCGTTGCGAGCTTGTTCCCAGAAGCTCCGCCAGTCGGTGTCGCCAGTCCTTGCGCGCGCAGCTCGAGAGACATGTGCTGTGTTACGGAAAGACCATGTTTTAATTTGGCGAAACAAATTGATGGCCGTCCAATCGGAAAAACAATTCGACGTGGCAAGCGACTGTGTGCAATGCTCAACTTGCGCAAGCATCGTTCCACACAAAAACAAGTTCCATGTTCTTGACAAACCACACATGGTTGATCTGGATTCCAAAACATGGAACGTCACGTGCCCAAAAAATATACTGCCGCCAAAGCTCACCAGTTCCCACAAATTGGCATCATAAAGCGCCCGGCAGAACTCCATCGGGCTGATCACGGGCCACTCCCGCCAAACAATTTTCGGCTTGGCTGCACCATCCTTAGTTATGGTGGCGTGCCTTGATCTTGCCTTTGCCTTTGCCCTTGCTTTTGCCTTGCCCTTCGTCAAGAGCTTGTGGCGCCTCCGGGCACGCACGTCCACAAAGGGCAACATCACGTAGGTCAGGCTGCATTTGACGCATTCATCCTGAGTGCATGGCATCAAGCGCAATATATTTGCGATGTCAATTGAAAATCCTACCAAAGTGCGACTCTGAGAAAACAACAAAGTCAGAGCTATCATGCATGTTTGAGCTGAGGTTCGTCCCGAGACTTGAGCATGCCCGTGTGCAGAGATTGCTCGCAGTGCCCACGGCCCCGAGCACGAAGGAGTCTAGCAGCCCATCGTGTGCCTGAGCTCGCGGCAAATCTAGGTGAACGCAACCGTTACACCCACAAAAAATCCCGGCTCCAAACCCTAAGCTGCTCGCAATTGTGTCAACACCAACGATTGTCCGACGAAGTAAGTGGCACACTGTGTGACACATTGTGGCTTCCAGCTTCCTCGACGGCCGCCGCCGCAAACCGCTGCGCCAATCCAGCTGCAGACCCCTTTCCCACTTCTGCCGCAGCGACGCACAGGATAGGGCTCTCCTGGCTGACACGCCGACCAGACGCCGTTTGCTACATCGATTGAAGGGCCAAATCATAAGACAAGCGCTCACCAATTTCAGCATCAATCTTGCCCTCCGAAACACTCGCCCTAGCCTTCAATGAGAGTCCCCTTGAAGACTTGTCAGGCGGTGTGGCGCCGCGGTTGAGTGTCCGGAGGCGCTTGAGCATGAAGCCAACTCCATGGCAATCGCATGTGGACCTATGATCAACTTGCAACAGTCAACAGCATTGCAGTTCATATTTGTCCTGGCGAACAACCTCTTAAGTTTTAAGTGAAAGTGGGTATATGCATATAGCTACTGAAGCTCAGGATTCATATGTGTCGAACTATTTCTTAAGCCAACGCATCGGCGGCACATGTATCGCAGAGCGCACATCCGGCCATGCATGATCGCCACATACATCACAAAACCATGTCAATCGTTCACGCAGCGCCCGTTTTTCCAACACACGTATCGGATCGTGTGAGTTCCCCCGGACCAAAGCATGCGATGTGTTCACGCATACCTTGAAACCCCAAGCATCACGCCAGTCCACAGCACTCGCCTTGTTGTGGGAATCGTGTGAAAGCGCTTGATCAGGACACACACGACACACACACACACAACACAGCTCAAGCATCGGTTGGCTAGCTGACAAAAATCAGCTGAGGTCTGGCACGAGCTCAAGTGCGGCACATTGCGGCACCATATTATTTGGTGCCAAGGATAATTGTTATTTGGTACCAAGGATAATTGTCTTGTCTGGTGAATTCACATTTGTGTTGACTATATTTAGTTCACAGTATACTGACTTTACCATTGGCACCATTTGCACGATCGCTCGATTCAACGGCCCATCAGGCGGCTGATTACACATGAAAGTCACACCAAAAACGTGTGAACTCGCCCAAATCAGCTAGAAACCTAAATGTCGCCCTAGTACACGGCAAATTAACGCATGGTTTTCTGATCACACAAACGCTTCTGATTGACAATTCAACGCAATGATGCACGTGTAGCACTGGCGCCCTCGAGACAGCCGACGTCACATCGAGGTGTGACACCACATGATGCCGCGGTTGGTTCAGTTGAGCATTGGGTGTGTATACGAGGATTACCATTCGCAGCACGCACATGGCCACACCAGTTCCTATAAGCACACCCAGCATTTGGTGTGGATGTGCGTTTGTCAAGCACACACAAATTTGATAACCCATATACGTCACCGGCTACCGTACTACTAGCTGTTTGTCCCTGAAGTCCATGTCTTAACACATATAGTTACACATTCAACCAACACGCACATCCATCACGCCTTCGCCTTTGCCTTTCCCTTTGCACGTGGCTTGGGCGCAGCCGTGGCACGGAGCAAGGTGTTTGCTGTCTTGATGTGCTTCTTGTGACCTGCCACGTGAATTGCAGCAGCCTGCAAAATATGTGAAACGTCATCCCTGTTGGGATAAGCCCCCAGGGCAATGAGGGCCTTCCTTGCGCACCCCAAGCCCTCGCTGCAATCGCGGATCAGCCCAGCCAATGCATCTTGGCTTTCCAGAGGTTCCAGCCTGGGGTGGCCAGAAGCACTTACACAAACTCATGCTCAAAAAATACACTTAACATATGGCATGTGTCAGAATTGTGGTTGTAGAAAGGGCAGTGGGTCTGGTTGCTTGCGAACCCTAACCATATGTTCAACTTAATACACACACATTCAACAGTGCTTCAAGGCAACAATGATTGATCAGCCACGCAGCTGGGCAGAAATGCTGGTGCACACACCCTGAGCATCGGTGCTCGACTTCACCCAGTTATTCACAAAGGCTGCAACATCTGCGTCCTCAGGTTTGAGCTCCTCCATGTTGGTCCCAGCTGGCTTCTCCTTGGCGACGCGGGCCTTCTTAGGCGGCTTGTTCTGCGGCGGCGCCGGTGGGTCACTGGCCCCTGGCAAGGATTGCTGCCCCGCTGCTGGCACGCTTCCGACCTGCTGGCCCTGATCCATGGCCCTCATCAGATCCACCGCCACCGCGGCGTCGCACCCGCACTCGAGGGCAACGTCCTCCAGGGTTTTTGTCCGGATGGTCTTCTCCTGTTCGCCAAACAGAAGGTACGTCTCAATTGCCGGGTCGTTCCGGCATCTGCTGGTCCCCCCCTTCTCGCGCTGGCGTCGGGCGACAAAGTCCCTGGCCTCCTCAGTGTGGCCCTTGTAGTGCTCCAGCACTTTCTCCCACCGCACAAAGACACCTGAACAGTGTCAAGCATGAAAATCACGCCCACATGCGGTTGCGCACACACACACACACGCACGCACCATCGCATCTAAACCGTGTTCCGGAACACATGTGGGCCATGGCACCTCTGTCCTTATCCTCAGTCTCCTGGATCTTCCGAAACCGGAGCACCGCCTCCACGGCCATAGCATCTCCTGGACACGAGGCAACACAACTATGTGTATATGTTCACACGTGTGTTTCAACATGTGAGCGATCCTGCAGCTTGGACGAACTTGGCGAACGCGTCCAGCTTGGCCGACCCGCCGCGCCTTAGACGCATACATGCACACGATCGGTAATGTGTCACCAAGAAGCAATCATCCCAAACCACATCTGAAAAAGTGAAAAACACAAGAGCTAAAATCACAAAAATGTTTTGCAACACACGCTCTCACACACACACACACACACACACACACACACACACACACACACACACACACACACACACACGCGTGGCCAAGGCGCGCGAACGCCCGCGCGAGCTCCGGGGCAGCCTGCCCATTGCTCTTGATGAACCGGTCAAACGCCTTCCACTCCTTCATGTGGGTGCTGCTGTTGCACACTCGCGGGGCAAGTGCGAGTTCCAAGCCTGCTGAGGCTTGCCTGGGTGTCCCAGGAGCCGCCACGGGTGTGCCCGGAACCCGTGACGGCGGTGGTGTCTGCTGCGGCTGGGTCTGGGTGTGGGGCGGGGCCCGCTGCTCTTGCGGCTGATGCTCCAGCTGACACTGCTGCTGCTGCGGTTGTCCCATGTCTTCCTGCTCCGGCTGATGCTCCTGGGTCTGGGCCTGCTCCGGCTGACACTGCTGCTGCTGCGGTTGTCCCAGGGCTTCCTGATCCGGCTGATGCTCGTGGGTCTGGGCCTGCTCTGGCTGATTTTGCTGCAGTTCTGGCAAGGCTTCCTGCGGCGGCAGCGGCTGGGGTGGGGGCTGCTGTTCTGGCTGAGGCGTCTGTGTCAGCTCGGGGGGATGATGTTGTTCTGGCATCTCCTTCGCCTGATCAGGCAGCTCGGGCGGGAGATGATGCGCCTGCGTTGAAAGCTGCGGCTGGGGCTGATGTTCATGCAGGGTGTGTTGCTCCAGCTGTGGCGCCCCCCTTGCGGCGCCAGCACTCGCAGATTCGCCCGGCGCCATCTGCGTTGCAATCAGCTGCATGATCTGCAAAATGGTATCTGTGGGAGTCGTATTGTTGATCAACAGCTGTGCCATCTGGCTGACCAATCCTGGAGCTGGCACCTGGCTGGCAGCACTGTCTGTCGGTGTCGGCGGCGCAGTCATGGAGCTCTGTGTGTGCGCAGGGCTTGGCTGGTCTGCCATGTCGATTGGAGTGGGCGGGGCTGTCAAAGGGCTGGCTTGATGGCTCGTCGAAGCCAAGATGGAAGGGATTGCTGATCGGGCGTGCTGCACTTGATGCGGTGGTGTTGCCAAATCTGCGGGGCTAGTGTGTTGCGATGTTGCCTGGGGGGATGGCAGGTCTGGTGGGCTCACAACCACGGGGCGCATTTGCTGTCGGGATCCGGCAGCCTCACGTGCTTCAGCTTGCGGCGGTTGCCCCTCCAACAAAGCGCTTTGGCGAATCGCCCACTGTTGGATCTCGATCATTTCAGGATCCAGTGGTATCTCAAGTGCCACCGGAGTTGGCGGAGGGCTTCCCTGCTGACTTATCTGCATTTGCTGTGGCGGGGCCGGAAATGGTGGAGGGCTTGCATGCTGACCCGGGGCTGCTTGCTGCTGCGGCGGGGCAAGTGGTTGCGTCGCGGCCGGAAGCGGCGGCGGGCTTGTCGGCTGACCCGGGGCTGGCTGTTGTTGCGGCGGGGCAAGCGGCTGTGGCGCGGCCGGAAATGGCGGGGGGCTTGCATGCTGACCCGGGGCTGCTTGCTGCTGCGGCGGGGCAAGTGGTTGTGGCGCGGCCGGAAATGGCGGAGGGCTTGCCTGCTGCTCGAGGGGCGTGTGCTGCCACTGCGGGCCAAGTGGCCGTGTCGCGGCCGGAAACGGCGGAGGGCTTGCCCGCGGATCGAGGCGCTCGGGGGGCGGTTGCTGCCACTGCGGGCCAAGTGGCCGTGTCGCGGCCGGAAATGGCGGAGGGCTTTCCTGCTGATCGAAGGGTGCGCGATGCCACTGCGGGCCAAGTGGCCGTGTCGCGGCCGGAAATGGCGGAGGACTTGCTTGCTGACCCGGGGCTCGTTGTTGCGGTGGGGCAAGTGGCTGTGCCGCGGCCGGAAATGGCGGGGGGCTTGCCTGCTGATCGAGGGGTGTGTGCTGCCACTGAGGGCCAAGTGGCCGTGTCACGGCCGGAAATGGCGGAGGGCTTTCCTGCTGATTGAGGGGTGCTTGCTGTTGTGGCGGGGCAGGTGGCCGTGCCGCGGCCAGAAATGGCGGAGGGCTTGCTTGCTGACCCGGGGCTGGCTGTTGTTGTGACGGGGCACGTGGCTGTGGCGCGGCCGGAAATGGCGGATGGCTTGCGTGATGGCCGGGGGGTGCTTGCTGCTGCGGCTGGGCAAGTGGCTGCGGTGCGGCCGGAAACGGCCGAGGGCTTCCCTGCTGGTCGGGGGGCGCTTGCTGCTGCGGCGGGGCAAGCGGTTGTGGCGCGGCCGGAAATGGCGGAGGGAGTGGCTCCTCAATATCGAGGGGGGCTTGCTGCTGCGGCGGGGCAAGTGGCTGTGACGCGGCCGGAAACGGCGGAGGGTTTGCTTGCTGGCCGGGGGGTGCTTGCTGCTGCGACTGGGAAAGCGGTTGTGGCGCGGCCGGAAATGGTGGAGGGCTTGTTTGTTGGCCCAGGGGCGCATGCTGCTGTGACTGGGCAAGCGGTTACACCGCGGTCGGACATGGTGTAGGGCATGTGTGCTGACCGGCCGTTGTGGCAGGTAGTTGGGCCTGCACGTCGGGGCTCACACCCATATGTGCTGGTGGAGTGATTGGGGCCGCCAGTTGAGGCTGCAAGTCTGGTGCTGCGGCTGATGGTCTTGCCTGCTGCTCACCTATGTCTGTGTGCTGCTGTGGTTGGGCAAGTAGTTGGGGCTGCAGGTGCACGGTCATTGGTGCAGCCGTCGATGGTGACAGGTGTTGCCGCTGATCTGCTGCGGGGTCCATCTCCTGGGGCGCTGCTTGGGTTGCCTGGGAATCTTGCTGGGTTGCTGCCGGATCCACCTCCATCCCTGCATACATAGCAGGTATGACACCTGTCAGGCCACCCCAGTACTGTGAGTACTTCTGCTTTGTCTTTGGCGAGAGCTTGGGCAATGGCACCTGGCGGCGTTCACAACAGCGAGTGCATACGTGAAGAGTTTACCAGCAACATTGACAGTTCAACCCCCGGGCACATAATTATCTCACAGAATCACAGGCCTCAGGGGCCGCCGCACGTGTCCGCTTGCCGGAAGAGCTCGCAGGGTTTGCGTGAGCAGGGCGCTTCTTAACAACTGCGGTGGTCTCCGGCATCAGCTCGTCGACCCCCCTACCTTGCATTGCAAGCAAATCCAGCCCATCTTCCAAAGTATATGCTCGGTGTGTCTGGATCACAGGATCGTCGGGCGTAGGATGTGCTGGCAAGGTACCGCTTCGTGCGGACAACGCAGCTGATGCGTCTGCATCCACCAGGGACTGGCACACGGGTCAAAGCAACCAACACGTGACGAAACGGCTCATGTCACACATTATGAGAGACACACCGGTGCACATGCAGGCAGAGTACTACCGGCCTCATGCACGCGGGAGTCAACTGAGCTCTCGGAGAAGGATCCCGAGTGTGCCAAGGTGCTCGGAGAGCGCACTGCTGGTGCAGATAATGCTGCCCTGGGTCAGGCGGTCATGGCCACACCCGCAAACAGAAAGGTCGTTGATAACATGCCCGGTGTTAATGATTGACTCTGCTATCAAGACACAGGCGGCTTCTCACGGCATCCTTCTGCTCAAGGTGGCTTCGTCCAACACAACTGTGTCCAGCTGTCGAAGCAAAGCCTTGGAGATGTGCAGACACATGTCACAAAGTAACACAATCACGTATGATGTAGAACGTCACACAGAACATGGTGCGTATCAATGGTCATGACAGGGCGCCGCCTCATCAGCTATCGGAGCATGGCTTGCGAATTGTTTCTTCGGCGACATGTGCGCTACTGGGGGCAGCACAGATCTATCACAGCTCCAAAGGTGATGGTGACAATATACAGTTGATGTGATCAACGCAAAAAGCTCATTTGGTGTGGAACTGAGAGGAGCTGGGAGTTTGCAAGTGACAGCCGAAGGCTGGAACGTGTGAACTTGGTATTTGGTGGTGTGGATCTGCCGGGCTGGCTCCTTGTGATCAAGCCAAAAGCATGCTGCGGATGCACGTGTGCGCATATTTTTGAAAAAAATACTTAGTGCATTTCGGCAAAAATGTCGGTCCAGTGGTTCCACACATGTCAACGTCTACAGCCAAAAAAAATCCATGTATATGATGTTGACACAGTATTCATGGGTTTGACTGAGTTTGACGCATTTTGACGGATTTTGACGGATTTTGACGGATTTTGACGGATTTTGACAGATGTTGACCCCAGCTGCAAATCAGGTGTAGCTCACGAATTATGACAATGTCATTATAGACATCGCTGATCTACCCAGCGCACACACGACTGGCGCGTGTGCAGCTCATTAACAATCATGTCGATCTGACGGGACATATGTCCCGGATCACACACACACACAGCACAGCCACGATCGGTCTAAGCCCCCTCAGATCAAACAAAGTCGTGCGGCCAGCACTGCGGAAGCTGCAGCCCCGGACAGCCGAGCGCGTACATGATCACCCCTCTGAGGTTGGCCTGTGGTGAGTGGTACGTGTGTAACCACCCACACAATCACATCCATGCACACATGGAAATACCACACGATGACACACGTGTAAGTCCGAGCGCCTCTTCATACCATTGGATAGGCTCGGAGAATAAAAGACGCACATTATCATCCTAGAAATGTGTTGCCAGTTGATGGTGCATGCTGCGTGAGCACACACGCGCAAATCAGCGACATTGCACTCAGCACACAACTTGCTTAGCGCCTCGTTGTATTGGTCCCGCATGGTCATGTCCTCGAACATATCGTCGAGACACGCTTGTTCTTTGCAGCCCAAACATGTGGCCTCATACGCACTAACACAGAACCACGCATGTAATGGGATTGCAGAGCATCATCTAAACCGTCATAATCAAGTGTCTGAGATCTCGGCTGCGCACATGCGGTCCTCATCAAACCATGATAGGAGAGCTTCACCAAATTTCTTTGTGTACGTCCTGACTGCCAAGATGTGACGCTTATGTGCACACACATGCAATATGACACTGGGGGTCGTGCTGTGTGCTCTTCAACGCAGATGTCCCATGCACTCGCTTTAGCCCTCGGCCCTTGGCTTTCACACAGCACACACATGCAGCGGTGATGAGCACGTGCGCACGGTGTAGCAGCATGCGTGCGTCAATCATAGCCGTGCGTCGTCCGTGTACGGTTGCATCAAGGCCGATGATTTTGTCTTTCCAGCAGCACCAGCAGCCGCCAGCGAGACATGCGACATCCATGTCCAAAGATTATGGTTTGAAAATAGCCAGGTTGGCTTTCGTGAGCACGCCCCCCACAACTGCTGGTTTAGGGCGATCTTGTAGAACGGGAACATACGAATGCACATCTGGAAGAAATCTATACGTTCCATGGAAGACCCCCCTCTATGGGCAGGTTGTTCTAACAGCACAGCCGCCCCAACTGCTCGCGCGACCAAGCCAAGCAGCAAGGAACGTATTGCCAGCCGGTTGGCAGCACGGACCGACGCCACTTCCAACAGGCCATTCGGCAATAGGGTGCATCTGCCACTTGTGTACATATTGCACCAAGTAAACGACGAGCCTGGGATGTTGACAGCATGGTCAAACGCGCACGGTCGCAACTCCTGCACAGGCATGCATTGAAGTTTTCGCCCAGGAGCAAGGGGGCGCCATCAAGCATAGTGATCCACGTTTCAGCCGCCTCATCAACAACAGCGCAATCCTTAGCAACGCAGTGCTCGCAGCTCCCACACATATATAGCACATACCTGCGGGTATGTGTTTATGTCATTGTTGGTACGGCAGGCGCACAGTCAAAGTTTCACACATGTATATAGTCAGGAATCAAATATCCGGCTGCTGAGTCCAGGTCAAATGATGCCCCGTAGGACAGGTCCATTGACCTCGTTGTCAAGCCACGTTCCAAGGCAGCCTGGCTGAACTGCGCGTCGCCCGCAAAAAGCTCGCATACATCAAGATCGTGAGCGCATGGCGAAAACTGTGGTAAGCAAGCAATGACGTAGTACATGAGTATAATCACACGTGGCCTTGGGATTCCAGTGCTGACATGCGTTGAGTGTCGATCGGCTCAAATGTAAGTTTTGCTCACTCACGCCGAGCCACAAACCAAACTCCAGCATCTGCTTCACGCGGGGGCGAGGACCAACAGCAGCCATGCTGGTGATTGCCCACATATGTACAAATCCCAATAATTAATGGTCATTAACTCCTCTCATTGAATTTCGAGATGCGTACGAACACAGATTGAACACTCATAGATCCTTATTTATGGTGGTTAGCACACTTTCGTGATGCACCAAAGGAGTTTGAAGGTGGCAGCTACTGAAGTACATATAAATGCAACATGACTTGGGCCACAAAATTAAACAATATAGTCAAATGCAGATGCGATTTCACCATGCGGTTGCAACCCCAAGTGAACATCTGCCAACTGACGTGCGCTAGCTGACAGTACATGAGTTCAACCACTCTGCTTGTTTTCTTCACACCGTCAGCCGTGCAGACATGTGCCTATCTAATAACGTCGACGTTTTCGTTCAGCATCAGGAATTGAATCCAGTATTGTCCTCAGCACATGGCTGGAAAGAGCCAGAAAATGTTTGCAAGCAACGCAAATCACATAGCTTGGCTTTGGATAGCACTGAACTGGCCAAGTATCTGCCGCACTGTGCTCTGCTTCCAAAGCTTGGCCGCAACCTTGTGTGGGGTAACATTGGTATCATATTGCACGTGACAGTTAGTTGAAGTTGACACAATGAATCATGTCGGCCGAGGCCAGCACATGTCGGTGCACTGTGTGCTTCTCCCACGCGTTCCTGGCCAGCTGCACACTGTGATTTCTTGCGCTGGAGACTTTGCGAGCAACTAGTCACGTCACGCACTTGTCCTGCAGAAGGCCTCAAACGCCTTGTGCATCGGACCATCCGGCGCCTGCGTATCGGAACACACGCACACACGCACGCAACAGCACAGTCACATATGGTTTGGGATGACCGAACCAGGCGCCTTCCGCGGCTTCTTGACTTTTGCTTTCGCAGTGGCATCAGGTTTCGGCTCCTGACAATACAACAGAACTACAACGACTGCAACAGCCAATGATGTTGAAACCTCCGGCGCGGGGATCTGATCAGGATCCACCTGCGTCCATCATGGCTTGAGCGCATCCAACTTGTTAGCGTGATGACCTGCCTCTTCAACTGAGTCCTCATCCTCCGGCTTGCGAATCTGGACGCGCAAACCAGAGTAGCACTGCTGCAGTGACCATGAACCTGGCCTTCTGCGCTGGCTCCTCGCGATCGAAGATCTCCTGAGTTGCGCACCCCATATGATGGGTCCATCTTGAATAAACTGGGATGAGTCGATCATGAATATAAGGGTCAACATCAAAAGTTGATGGGCGTTCAGGAATTGCCACGCGACGCAACAGATTGCAAGTGCACATCAAAGGATCCCGCCTGAGATGTGGCATCATTCTCCGGGCCCTTGGAGGACGCCGGGAGATCCTGATGAGCGCAAGA